CTTGAATGACATAGCTCAAAAGCGTTGGAAACGGTGCAGGTGCATCCACTGTTTGTGTTCTCTCAAATCCTAAACTTTTTAATTCTTCATCACTTTATCCTTATCTTTTTAAGTTTATTTCACTAGATCCTACTTCTTGAATAATATCTTCTAGTCCTAACCTCTCCGACTACTGCTAATACTTTTACTACCCCTACTACTATAGGATTTGAATTGACAATTTCATCTCTGTGCTTATGCGGTATGGCAACTCGAACTGTGATGTACATACGTACGCAGTTCGACGTTGCTATCGATTGATTGATTGCAACCTAGACTGATGTACGTTATGAAGGTAGATTAGTGTTGGTCTTGGAGACCTGAGAGCGTGACCGAAAAGCCCAAGATACAACTGCTTGTGGCCGTTCACGCACGGCCTTTTTACCAGAAGTTTGTGAAGTTTGAGCTCCGCTCTTTTTAAAAGGCCTTACCATCAGAGATGGAAATCCGTAAGGTAACGTGAAGTATGACATTTTTAGGGTCGACCTTCGCTAACTCCTTCCTTCCTTGTAAGAAGACAGCATCGCTGTAGATCATGGTTGTCCGAGGGAAACACCTTACCGTTGTCACATCCCTCTACAGTCAGCAGTACGACTTCGCCATCAAGACTTGAGTAGCCGCTTTTAGTCTCATCGTTCCGCCATCGACCTGCCTGGCATGGTAGAACCTACAGTATCATATGTTCCAAACAATATAGCTCGGTTGAATCATCGCGATACGCAAACCCGGCCACCACGACAAGATAGCAGCTACGGTCGGGAACTGATGTACGTCCGTACGAAGTTCTACATTGTAACTCATCTAACACAATATGAAAATAAATAAACATACTTACATTTAAACGTCCACAACATCTGTAAATAGGATGAAAGTCAACAAATAGGCACTTAAATAAGCGCAAAATAATTCGTGTTAGACCTTATACACCACCTGTTCACACAAGAATAATCTTACTTAGATGTATATATGCTCTTTTTGTGTTTAGATTGCGTGAAATAATCTCATTTTATGAGGGGATAAAGTACCTGTTTGTTTTCTCTTTCATTATTTACTTTCATAATAAAATCGATCATAAATGTTTAAGAAGCATTGCTCGTACATCGTGGGACAACCGAGTAAGCAATGCTGTCGTTAGGAAACGAGTACTAGGTAAGGATGGCAGATTAATAGATGAAGTGGTGAAACTTCATCAGTTGAGGTGGTTGGGACATGTGTTACGTATGCCTAACCACCGACTGCCTCGACGAGCTATGTTTTGTGGTGTAGGAGTAGGTTGGAAGAATGTTAGGGGCGGCCAGACCAAAACATGGCATAAATCCATGAAGTCACTGAGAAGTGGACTGAGTCATGTTGGTAGATGTAGACTACGTGGTTGGGGTCCGCGAGACGAAAGTCACCGATGGTTAGAGACGTTGAACGACATGACTCGAAATTGTTTGGGATGGCACAAGTGCATCCATTCATTGTGTTCTCTCAAATCCTAATCTTCTGGATTCGTCAGCACCTCTACCTTTATCTTTCTAACCTTATCTCACTGAATTATACTTCTTGAATAATATCTTCAAAGCCTAGTCTTCTTCATTACCAATAATACCTCTACTATCTTTATCACTATGGGATTTGATTTGACATTTGCGTCTCTGTGCTAATGTGGTATGGCAACATGAACTTATGTACATACGTACGAAGTTCTATGTTGCAACTGACTGACTGACTAATAAATTCTTTGTTATGTCAATATATTGAATTACCAATATATACACTTCATCATTTTCTTTTTTGGTACCCTATAAATAGGCTCTAAAGAAGCTCAAATGTTATCAACCAACCAATTGTCACATGAAGCATGTTTAAATTTAGCCTATCAGTTAGTGGTTGATTATCTTCCACCAGATTTATGGAACAAACTCCGAGAAAAGATTGGATTAAAAACTAACACTGTTGAAGTCAATTTATCAGAGAACGGTTCTGCTGTAATCATCTCTGAAAATATAGACCCCCTTCTTGATAACCGATCCTTGGAGAAGTCGTTTGATGTTAGTTGATTTTTTTAAACGATTATTTTGTTACGCCTGCACGTAAACACGTCAACTTGATATACTTGAACTATTACGAGTTTACCTTAGTCGGGAAAAGAGAGCGAGCATCGAGGATCCGGTGACACGACATGATACTCAAATCCGATTATCCCAACCCCCATATTTAGTAAAAAAATAAGAAGACATGATATGAAGTAGAACGTGTATTCTACAAGCATCCAGGAAGTACGAGGTCCGAATCTAGAAGAGAATCAGGATCCCGGACTAGGGATTCGGGACCGAACCCTGGTCGTGGTAATAAAATGTTACAGATATTGCGTATTTATACATTTTGGATCGAATAGGAAACAGCATCGAATTCGGTGGCATCGACAGGTCGACCAATCAGAGACAACATTGAAGTATTTGACTTTGACAGTTAAAATGACCATAATTTTGACCAATCGAAATCGACCAATAGGCATTGACCAAAAATTAATTCTCTTAGGATATTGGATGAATATCCTAACACTTGAGTGTCTTGAAGTTTTCATTTGACAGTCTAACTAACATTAATTGAGTGGGTGGGTTGTCTTAATTTGTTGACTGTTTTTTTCTTACTGTTTATATTACTAAATTAATTGCTTCTCAATTCATTTTATGTTTTGATATTTTTTATTATTTTAAAAATCAAAGTTGGAAAATTGTCAACCTAATAAAGATGATTCTTGTTTGGCTTTAAAATTAAATGAATCAAAAATCAATGAGGTTGGTTGTACTTTTTTGTAAAGCTCATTCAGTGTATTCTTTGTGTTGTGATTTTGTTACGCATGAACGTCAACATGTCAATTTGGTATTCTTGAACTATTATGAGTTTACCTTAGTCGGAAAATGAGAGCGAGTATTGAGGATTCGGCGACACGACATGCTACTCTAATCCAATTGTCCCAACCTCCCAGGTTGAGTAAAAGAAGAAGAACTTGATATGAAGTAGGACGTGTATTCTACAAGCATCCAGAAAGTACATGGTCCGAGTCCAGAAGAGGACGAGGATCCCTGTCCGGGTCATAAAACGTTACAGATAGTACGTATTTATACAATTAGGTCGAATAAGAAACAACATTGAATTGTGTGACATTGACAGTTAGGACGACCATACTATTAACCAGTAGGAATTAACCAATAGGAATTGACCAATAGAACTAGACTTACAAATAATTCTCTTAGGATGTTGGATGAATATCGTAACAGTTTTATTAATTGGGATTCCCCGTACTCATCGACCCAGTTTAAGCGTTGGATTCCTATTGTCCTCTCAATTTCATAAACAATATCTGTGCTGTGAGAAGGCAGTGAGTAGGACTTTCGGGACAGTGGCTATACACCCATGACCATATGAGAGCATTTGTAGAGGGCGAGCAAATTCTGCCAACTCTTGACCCCGTACCTGAGCATAGTAAATAGTTTAATAGAGGCGAAATACAAAAGCTTGCGCAGACACTAATCAGTTCACTCTGTACTTTCATACATAACTGAGTTAAATTTATTGGCATCCTGAGTTTTATACCATATCCTCGATTCAATTACCTTAAAAATGTTTTATGCTAAATAATGCTTTCTCTGTAGACTGTCCTAATAGCCTTGAAAAATAGATATGAAGTTAAAACTATTCAAATTTTACAGTTGTAATCATTTGCCATTTTAATCGAGTTCATATTTCATCTGATGCTCCCTAGCACTTTCCAACGGGACATGGATTATCATTAAATAATGTTTGATTAAGGGGATTGTGAAGATTGTTGAATTTTCACATGAAGTTATGAACTGTTCTAGGTCAATCGACTCCCAGAAACTTGGAAGCAGTAGATGGCCGTTAATCCTTAGTATATATGATTTCTCAACAATGATTACTCAGAACGCTTCACTAGAGTATCGAACGCACGACCTTCAGTCTTGAACGCTTGAACGCTTAACTCCTAAACCACTCACGATATCTAAAATCCATTTGTGATTTAAACTATGAACATGAAATTCACAATTTTCATTGTATAAATTCACCATCAATAGACAAGAGTAACTTTACATAGGTTTTCAGGAGAATGAAACACTGCCACATGCTAACAACTACAATGTGAACATTACTGCTCAATCCTGTGACGCAACCACACAGGTATCTGACACCGTGGTGGACCATTCACACCATTTATATACACTAGTACATATAGAGTGATTATTTCTGATCCATGATCGCGTCGTCAGTCAATATGCACAGCATGAACAGGCCAGTTCGACTCATCCAGCTTACATGACTATTAACCTCATTATTATTATTATTATTAGCAATGGTGATATGCAATACAGCGCATCCTCGCGAATGTTGCAAAACAACCACTTGTAATATCAATGAAACCGGTCACGGACTGTTAGTAAGATTTGTCAAAGTAATGTCAAGTCATCCACGTTGTTCATCACAGTGAACCTCTGGTCTCACAGAAAACCTTCAGCTCTATATAGCGAAATAACTTATGGTATATATACATCCTACAGTATTAGGATAGCAAGAGATACAGTCCAGCTTCAGTCAGTCAGATGCAACGTAGAACTTCGTACGTAAGTACATCAGTTCATGTCGCCATACCACATCAGCACAGAGATATAATTGTCAATTCAAATCCAATAGAGTAGTAGAGGTAGTAAAGGTATTTGGAGTAATCGGAGAGGTTAGGATTAGAAGATATTATTCAAGAACTATGATTCAGTGGGAAAAGTTTACAGAAGATTAGGATTTGAGAGAACACAAAGAATAAATGCACCGGCGCCGTTGCAAACGATTTTGAGCCATGTCATTCAGGGTCTCTAAGCATCGATTACTAACATCTCGCGGACCCCAACCAGGTAGTCGACAACTACCGACATGGCTAAGTCCATTCATCCAGTGATTACATGGATTTCTGCCATGTTTTGGTACAGCCCAGCTGGATGCGAATTGGCTCAAATATACACTATATTACTTTTGGTCTCGTTTCGGATAATGATTTTTTCGCAATGGCGAAATTTTCATTTTTCCGACCATATGAAACCTGAGTTAAATAGAGGTGTAGTATCTGTATGAACCCTAACCTCTCCGATTACTTCTAATACCTTCACTACCTCTACTACTATTATGGGATTTGAATTGACAATTACATTCCTCTGTGCTGATGTGGTATGACAACATGAACTGATGTACTTACGTACGAAGTTCTACATTGCATCTTACTGACTGACTGACTGATTATCTGTATGATTATGAAATATCTGGTCATTATTTAATAAAAACGAGTAGCATTCTATATTTAATCTTACAAATTATCGATTTTATTTTATTGATTTTTATAGCCAACAACTAAAAAGGCAAAAATTCCTAAAGGTTTACAATCGATTACAAATTTCTTCGGGAAAAAATAAATGAGTATTTGTCATCGATATTTATTCGTTTGAATGTGTCAATCTAATCAGCTGTTGTATTTTGTTAAAATTAATTTTATTAATGTCTATGTGTATTTTTATTATGTAGATGTTGTATATAATTTTGTTTGCTGAATGTGATCTCATTTTGATAAAGATTCAGAAAAAAATTATTTTTTTTATTGAAAAATGGTGTTTTTGAACCACCCACACACACAGGGGTCATGTAATTTCGTAATATCCCAATTCTAACAGTTAAGAAGTTTAATTAGTCAGTCAGTTAGTTAGTTGCAACGTAGAACTTCGTACGTATGCAAGTACATCAGTTCATGTTGCCATACCACATTAGCACAGAGACGCAAATGTCCAATCAAATCTCATAGTGATAGTAGAGATAGTAGAGGTATTAATGGTAATGATGAAGACTATGGGTTTGAAGATATTATTCAAGAAGTATAATTCAGTCAGATAAGGTTAGAAGACAAAGGTAGAGGTGCTGACGATTCCAGAGGATTAGGATTTGAGAGAGCACAACGAATGATTGCACTTGCACCATTGCAAGCGATTTTGAGCCATGTCGTTCAAGGTCTCTAACCATTGGTGACTTTGATCTCGCACACCCCAACAAGGTAGTCTACATCTACCAACATGACTCAATCCACTTGTCAGTTCAATTAGTATTTACTAGCTTTTTAGATCCGAATTGTTACTCAAAGTCAGGTTTACCAACGTTTATTTAGGAAATAAAAGTTACAGACTTGTAGAAATTCAATCAGTCATCAGCAACTGATAGGCAGTCAATCAATCAATAGCAACATAGAATTTCGTACGTGTGTACATTAGTTCAAGTTGCCATACCATATCAGCATAGAGATGTAATTGTCAATTCAAATCCCATAGAAGTAGAGGTAGTAAATGTATTAGCAGTAATCGTAAAGATCAGGATTCGAAGATATTGTTCAAGAAGTAGAATCTAGTGAAATAAGCTTAAAAAACAGAAAGATGAAGTGATTAGGAATTCAGAGGGTTAGGATTTAGGAGAGAACACAAAGAATGGATGCACCTGCGCCACTGCAAACGGTTTTGGACCATGTCATTCAAGTTCTCTAACCATCGATTACTATCATCTCGCGGGCCACAACCACGTAGTCGACACCTACCGACATGACTCAGTCCAGTTGTCAGTTACCTTGTGAATTTATGCCATGTTTTGGTTTGGCCGCACCTAGCTTTATTCCAACCTATTCCTGCACCGCATACGTAGCACATGGTCCAATCACCTCAACTGATGAAGCTTCATTACTTCATCTATCGATCTGCCATCTTTACCTAGGACCCATTTCCCAACTACAGCATTGCTTTCTCGGTTGTCCCATGATACACGAACAACGCTTCTTAGACACCTAAGACCGAAAACCAGCAACCAACGAATATTTTCTACTCTAACTGGCCATGTTTCACAGCCATAAAATGGGAGTGAGCGAACTGCTGCGCAGTACACTCGTCCTTTAGTTAGCAAACGGATATCTCACCTACGCCATAAGTGACGCAGGTTGGCAAAAGCTAATTGAGCTTTCTGTATCGGTGCTGAGATTCCATCACACACTAGGCCATCAGCACTGGTGAAGCGGTCTACATATTCGACCACTTCACACCCTGTCACTAGTTCAGGTTCCAATGCATTCCAACCTTGAAGCAATATTTTGCATGTCGTGGGAGAAAACCACATCCCGAACATGCGTTGTTGCTTAGAGTAGTTAGGAGACATTGCATTTTGTCTGTGTCTTCAGTGAATAGAACTGTCATCGGCATATTCTAAGTCAACCAATAAATCTGGTAGAAGGTCTGCTCGTGAAAGTTCAGACGAAGATAATGTTATATCTAGGATTATGTCTATGGAAAAATTTAACTAGGTAATGCACTT